AAAAAAAAAAAAAAAAAGATAAAGAACTGTTGTCCAAATTTCATAAACAACTCTTAAAACTCAACACTAAGAAAACTACCCAATTAAAAAATGGGTCAAAGATCTTTAATGAAACCTCACCAAACAAAATATACAGATAGCAAATAAGTATATGAAAAGATGTTCCACAACAAGTCATCAGGAAAAATGCAAATTAAAACAACAATTAGATACCAATACATACCTATTAGAATGGCCAAAATCCAGAACACTGACAAGAATGTCAAGCAACAGAAATTCATTGCTGGTGCGAATGCAAAGTGGCTGTGGTGGTACAGCCACTTTGGAAGACAGTTTGGCAATTTCTCACAAAACTAAAAATACTCTTACCATATGATTTTGCAACTGTGCTCCTTGATATTTATCCAAAAACTTATGTCCACACAAAAACTGTACATGGATGTTTATGGCAGCTTTATTCAGAATTGCGAAAACTTGAAAACAACCAAGATGTCCTTCAGTAGATGAATGAATAAACTGTAGTACATCCAGATTATAAACCCTGGCATATTAGTCAGCACTAAAAAGAAATGAGTTAGCAAGCAATGAAAAGACATGGAAGAAACCTGAATATATATTAGTAAGTGAAAGAAGCCAATTTGAAAAGGCTACATAGTGTATGATTACAACTATGACATTCTGGAAAAGGCAAAATTATGGAGACAGTGAAAGAGTGGTTACCAGGGGTTAGGAGAGAGAGAGAGGTGAACTGACAGCAAAGAGGATTGCTAGGGCAGTGAAACTACTCTGTATGATACTATAATGGTGAATACATGTCATTATATACTTGTTCAAATCTGTAGAATGTATAACACCAACAGTGAATCCTAATGTAAAATACAGACTCTGAGTGATTATAATATACCAACATAGATTCATCAATTATAACAAATGAACCAATCTGGTGGAGGATGTTGACAACAGGGGAGGCTATCCATGTGTGGGGAGGCTATCCATGTGTGGAGGCGGAGGTATATGGGAAATCTCTGTACCTTCTGTTTAAATTTTGCTGTGAACCTAAAACTGCTCTAAAAAAATTGTTTTTTAAAATCACACAACAGTCTCACCTGTGATAGATTGCTCATCACTACCATCTAGTGGGCAAGGAAGCAATAACAGAATATGTCATCACATCTTAAAAAAGTGAAAAAATAACCACCTCATTCCATCAAACCTAAGATTCCATCGATTAAAAGATATTATTTCCAGTACAACTAAGAAAGAAAAAATACTGTGAATTAAACTATAACACTATCAACTATAAGTAGCATTTCAATTTCATAGATATTAAAATGTGTCTTAAAAACCAGTGAAATCTGGTATACTGACTTTTCCTCTTAAGTTTTTATCAGGGTTAGAAACAAAATAAAAATTAAGGATTTTAAACTGTAGCACAAGACTTTTAGGAAGTAGGAGTCAGTAAGAACAATACTAAAAGAAATATGACAAATACTGTTCTATACTTTTGAGGCATCAATTTTAGGTAATTTAAGAACATAAATATATAACGTTGGATTTTAATAACATCTAGGATTCCACTTAAACTCTTTTAATAGAGTTAAGAGTCTATTAAAATTCTTTTAATAGTTCTATACATTATTAAATTTGTCCTTAGAGTAACTGAAAACTTTACCAACATGATAATAAGGGTTAACACTTTCTGAACACTTGAGAAACATGTCAAATGTTCTTTCACATAATCCTCATAAAATCCTAGTGAAGGCAGGCTTGCAGCCCAGAACTGGTTGACCCCAGGGTCCATGCTCTTTCCACTTCAGGACACCAGGCCATTTCCCAAATAACATCAGAGCAAACAACATGTCTTGATATACATATTTCAGAAAAGCCCATTCCACTTCCTACTCACCGGGCTGAAGCTTTAAACCGCTCTAAGAACTGAAGTCTCAAGCTCTCATGGCCAGGGAGGTCAATCAAGGTCAGACTAGCGCCCTAAGGATGGCAGCAATAACATTAATGTTTTGGTCCTGATACACATTCACAGCATAAACCTTTCATATCAGATTTCAGGTACCAGAATAGTGGCCAATTAATCAAAAAAATGTTCACTCTAATTAATTAATGAATCGAACAAATGTTCACCAAGCATCTTCTATTTATAAATCATCAGTCGAGGAACAATGAGCAAAAACAGACACGGTCCCTGCTCTAACAGGGCTTGTAATCAGAATGCAATGTAAAATTACATATACATAAGTGTAAAACTACAACTCTGATAAGTGTTCTGAGGGTACATAAGGAAACCTGACCCTGTCTGGGGGAGTCGGGGAAGTGTGGCCCATCTGAGGCTAGGGAAATATACTGGTATAAATAAATAGCAAAAACATGTGAAAAACAGTAATAAATATTTAAAACTAAGTACTATAAGATCTTATACTGTACCATATAGCATGTTACCATTAGAGAGATCCCAAAACATTCTTTTACACTTCCACCATAATTTAATTTTAAACATGTCTGCCAAACACACCATTTGTTCCAACTCAGTCAATATTGTGTGTCAATTCTTGATCCAGATGACAATCATTGAAACAGGGAGGGGTTGTGCCCCTACTGAGCAGACTCATTAAGCACCCATTTAAGTGTTCTTCATTCCAGGCCTTCATTCTTGAGCTCAGGTTCAATATAGATGTGGCTATGCTCAAGGACAAGACTCTCAGATACAGCTCTGGCACATGTATCATCAGACCCATGACCATGTCTCAGATGTTCACTTAGTCTGTGCAGTCTTTTATGGGCAAAAATATGATGCATATTAGCCTTTCTTTTTTTAAAATACAGGTTAAGAGTCTAGGGACCTCAGGCTGGGACCCACTACCACATTTCATAATCAGCACTGCACCAAACACTATGCTCTTTAAGATATCCATCGCAACATTGTACATAAAAGCAAAAGATTGTAACAATAAACTAAATGTCTGTTAATGGGGCTCTTATTAAATGAGAACTTAATTGTATGGTACAGCCACATAATGGCTCTGCATACTATGCAGCTCATAAATCAACTATGTACAAATGTGGAAGAAAAAACAAAAATCAAACCCAAGCTGTATCAGTCATATTGTTAAATTAAAAAAACAAATAAGTAAAATAGGCAGAAGAGAGTGTTAAAAAGAAAAAAAATTAAAGGATATACAGATATGTTTGTATATGCATAGACCATCTGAAAGGGCACACAGGAGATGGGAAGTGATTACCTCTAAGGAGAAGACTGGGTAGTAGGGACAGGAAAGGCAAAATAACTTTTCACCAAATATCCTTTTTAATCTTTAGAATTTTTGTCCCATGTACACATATTACATATTCAAAACATAAATGAAAGCAGAAAAGCTTAATGCTCACCCTTAAGACAAAGAAACAAAAACTAATAAAATGTGACAAACCAGGGGAGGGCATGATTAAGTCTGTTGCTTGGATGGTCAAGAGCAGAATTTGTCACATGGATTATATTTATCCATAAAAATAAGCTACACCCTTAGACTAATTTATGTTAGAAATGTCCTTTCCTGACACACCAAAGTAAAGTAAAATTGTGAGACTCCCAACATTCTGGGAACCCCTTACCCTGGAATTGTTGACTCTGTACACAGCAGAGCTGTCGGTGATGGAAGTCTGAGTGTCTCTATAAAGGCCTGTTAACAACTGTAAAAAATAATAATAATAATATGGAGATCAGAGTAAACATCTAAATAGCAAATTTTAAGAGAGTAATTCTGTTCTAATGCTCCTGGGTGTCAGGTCAAGTGATGTTGATTTTTTCCCCCATTACTTGTAGGAAAACCTAATTAATTGCAAACTTTATTCCCCTCTACCCAATTGAGAGGGGGAAACCCCTATTATTTTCAAATAAGAGCTTCAAATGGTTAGTGACCAAATTTACCAATCTTCCATAAACATTTTTAATTATTAGAAATAGTTAAAGGTTGCATTTCTTTAGTGGAAGGAAAATCTTTTATACTCCCAAAAGGAAGAATAATGAGAAAACCCCTGCTATTTTCCACAGCAAAATGACAAACATTTAAAAATACTAAATAGATTAAAAATAAATATTAGTGAAAAGAAACCTAAGTAGCCCAATGACAAAGAATCACCCTTTTAACATTTTTCTTTGACAAGCTATCAGGAGCGTATATTGTACAATGGATTATACACCATACACAGATCAATGTCCTCTATCTTTTCAGTCATTCTGGCATCCTTAGCCATGGCATGAAAGTAGTTACATAAACCCTTTACACGGAATAAAGACTAAATATCAGTATCTGGCAAAGAAAATAGAAATGGTCAAAAAATGCCAGTTTATGAGTTTTCAAGAGTCTTTCTGTCCTCCCAAGGGAGTCAAGAATTAACTCCCCAATTTATCAGCATCAGCTTATTCTCCAAAATAAACCATGACCTCACAGAAATTTTCCTATCAAGTTTGAAAGAGATGTAAATCAAAGCATTTACTCTGACAAAGAGCAATGTTTTCCCGGAGTCACAGAGGCCAACAAGAAGAACGGCTCTTTGACTGGTCCTTCTGCTCCGGATGAACTTCCAGAACACTGTGCAATGGAGAAAAAGAACCAAAATTATGCCTCATCAACAACAGGAGTGTATGGCTGGGGTGGGGAGATTAACAGAGGTCTACCACAGAACACCGCAATTTTCTGAAACTTCTATTATTACCACCACCATTATTATTGGTACTGTTATATAATTGTAATTGTTGCTGTTACTTTTGTTAGGGACTCCACTGAGTGCTGCTGGCCAGTATCAAATGCCAACTTTTGTGTGTACCCCCTATCCCGACTGTGGACTCTCTAAGTGCAGTCTTGTCTTATTAACTTTGTATCCCCAGCGCCTAGCACGCAAACACCGGGCGCTCAAACCAGAAGCAGAGACCCCATGAGTCTTGGTGGTAAAAGCAATGGCGGGGAGAGCGGGGGAGCCACGCGCTCAGGCTAAACAGGGGCCGAGGAAGGAAAAGTAATCCATTCCCCAACGACTAGGACATCACTTCGGGGGTCGCGGGTTTCCCTTGAACTCAGCGCTGCTCCCACTGCTTCAGGCAGGAGGAAAGGGTGTCATCAGGGGTGAGTCTCCCCCTTTTAGACGCCCCCCAGATGCCTTCTCCGCCCGGCATCCTACCTGTCCAAGCCCGGACTCCCCATCTTGAACCCTCCAAAACCACCCGCCGCCTCTTTACCCAGCGTTAGCAGCACCACGAAAAGAGCCGCCACGACTGACACCAGCGTCGGGTCCCTCTGCTGCAGCTCCTGCCGCAAAGAGTCTAGATAGGGCTGGAAGGCGCCCCCGACACCGCCACCATTGCCCATTCGCCGGGAGTCCGCGGAAGCCATGCTCAGGCGCTTGCGTGGTCTCCGGCGCCGCAAAAACGACGTGTCCCTGGGCTCCGCGCAGACGTCTGAAGCGGAGCATCACGGGAGTGGTAGTTCCTGACTTGTATTTTCCTCCTCATGGCCGTGACCCCGAAGGTCCTGATGGGAGTTGTAGTTCTTTTGTAGTACCGTGCGCTCCTGCCTCAGGAGAGGGCAGCCTCAGGTTATTTCGTGAGCGACACACTTATCCTTTACGAGATGAGTCAAATGTCGCCGCTGTCTTCGTGGTTGTTGACAGAGTGCTGGATGAATAAAATTAGTGGCTCGAGAAAGCTCGCCTGAGGATTTCCAGTCGCTCCTTCCCTGAGGTGAGTCGTGTGAGGAACTCGAACATGACAGAAAAATGTCTTTTTATGTATTCTTTTTTTATTGTTGAGAGTATTATACATGTCCCCCATTTCTCGCCCTCCACCCAGGCCTTTCCCACACTATTGTCTGTGTCCACGGGTTATGCACATACGCATATAAATTCTTCGGTTACTCCCTTCCCTCTGAGACCTGTCAGTCTGTGCCATGCATCTGGACCTATTTTGTTTGTCAGTTTATTTTGTTCGCTAGATTCCACAAATAAGCGAGATCACGTGGTACTTGTCTTTCTCTGACTGGCTTATTTTACTTAGTGTGATACTCTCCAGGTCCATCCCTGCTGTCGCAAAGGGTAAGAGAACCTCCTCTTTTACAGCTGCCTAGTATTCCATGGGGTAAATGCACCCGGCTTTTTTTTTTTTTCAATCCTCACCTGAGGATATTTTTTCCGTTGCTTTTCAGAGAGAGTGGAAGGGAGAGAAAGAGAGAGAGAGAGAGGGAGGAACATTGACATGGATGGGTTGCCTCGGGCACACGCCCTAACCGGGCCTGGCTGGGATTGAACCTGCAACCGAGTTACCTGCCCTTGGCCGGAATCCCACCGGGACCCTTCAGTCCACAGGCCGACGCTCTAACCACTGAACCAAACCAGCCAGGGCTGTACCCATCTTTTTTTTATCCACTCATCTACTGATGGGCCCTTGAGCTGTTTCCACATCTTAGCTACAGAAACATTTCATCTGAATATGATGTGGCATGGGATGTGACAGAGGATGAATGGTTTTATGTGGAAATACAGAAAAGGATGCTTATAGTCCATCATGGGTTCAGAGAAAAGCTCCTGGAGGAACGTGACCAAAACTGAGCCATGAAGGATGAGATAGCCTCTAGCTTCTGCTGGCTTTAAAGGAGAAAGCGTGTTCAGTGCCGAAGCAAGTGAGCCATTGAGTGTCCCTACACTGTAAACCCAGGGCTGCAACTGCAAGGTCTATTTTAAAGCAAGCAGCCAGGAAAATCAGTGGGAGCGGTGGGAGCTGTTGAAAACTGCAGCTGTCATTCCCATCCAAAGGGGCAGCCACAACCCTGACAGGCATGTATGTGGCACCAAGATGGTCAGTTCTTCCAATTCTTTTTTTAATCCCCCCTCAAGGATATGTTTAGAGTTTAGATAGGGGAAGGGAGAGAGAGAGAAACATCAATGTGAGAGAGAAACATGGATGGGTTGCCTCCTCTACACGCCCCGACCAGCATCAAACTCACAACTCAGGTTTGTGCCCTGACTGGGAATCGAACTGGCAATGCTTTTGGTGTACAGGATGATGCTCCAACCAACTGACCCATCCGGCCAGGGCATTCTTCCAGTTTTTTTAAAAGAAGCCAGAAAGGCAGGTTTTCATGGGAATTCTCCACTTTTCAAATTTCATCAAGTAATGGAAAACATTCAAGAAATTGTGGCCCAAATAAAACACATTATTGGGTCAGAAGTGCCAGACTAGGGGCTGCCAGTTTGCAGACTCTGTCATTAAGCAGGTGTCTCATCCCCAGCAGTGGCAGGAGATGACGCAGGAAAGGTTGGCAGGAGCCAGACCTGAAGGGATTGTGCTGTGCTGAGGGACGCTATTGCATTATACAGAATGCAATAAGAAGTTTCAATTGAGGGTGACATAGATGCAGGTCAATGGAGAACTGTCCTTTGAGGGAGAAAATACTGGAGGAAGGGAGACCAGCTAGGGTCTGTTGCAGTGTTTTGGCAAAAAATGCACAAGGTCTAAACTAGGGACAGAGGTACGTGTGGAGGGCATCAATTTGAGAGATATTTAGAAGGAAAGTATATAGGAGGTAATAATTAAATTGGACATTCTGAGTTAAGGTGAAATGTTATCAAGACTGCATCAGAAGTGGTTGGAATGGGTAACTGGGGCTATCAGAGTGCATAAAGTGAATTAGAAAACTCACTTGGAGGGACTTTGGATCTGGGAACAGAGCCAGAATGAATATTGGATATATTGGATATACTGAGTTTTGGGTATATTGAGTTTCAGGTGCCTCCAGCAATAGGTGCTAGATTTTCCTTTGGGAGTCATACGTAAATAAGTGGTCATTAAAATGGCGAGCATGAAGAGTGAGAAGCAGAAAGGAATCCATAAAGAAGCCTAAGGAGGAAGAAGCTGTGACACAAGAGTAAAACATGTCCTGGAAGTGGTCAGCAGCATTGCTTAGAACAGAGAGGATCCTGTGATGAGGGCTTGAATAAAAAATGAGCTCAGGGGGAACAGCAGGGTGAGGATGATGGTGGGGGCATGGATATGGAAGCAAGACTGTGGTATGGTGAAGCAAGTGGGTAATGAGAATAATTGCTAACGTTAATGAATGATTGCTAGTATAAGGCATTGTCCTAAACACTTTTGATTTATTAATTTGTTTAATCTTCACAATGACTCATGATCTCAGTTTTACAGAGGACAAATTAAGACAGAGGTTAAGTACCCATTGATCCCAGGCAGTTTGAATTCTTGATGCTTAAATATATGCTCTAACATAGTACAATTCATTTCCCAAGCATTTCATCAATAAAAGTAGGTAATAGGGACTCCAGGATGTTTAGGATGTGAGGTTAAAGTAAACTAATTGTTTTAAATTAGCATAATCCATTAAAACTATCAGAACTGACAGTAATCTAACCACATTCTATTTCTTTTCTTTCTTATGGTACTGACCCCTGCTCCGTATGCACTACCCAACACACACCTCCTTTATAATAATCATAGATTCCTCTGCTAGGGACTAAAAATGCAGGGAAGGAGGGAGGGCCAGGCATGGAGAACACATACCATAACTGATCTAACTGTGTAAGGATTTTTAGCCTGAGTTATGTGAATGAAAAAGTGCTGCCTTGGTTATGGCATTTGGGAAAGATAAAAGGAGACTTTAAGAACACACAGTCATTTTTTCCCCCCAGTTTCTTTCCGGGGTATCATGAAGGCCAAAGAAATGTGCATATTTTCCACACCCAAGTGAGAAGGTGGTGCTGTCCTTCTCAGGAATGAGAGCTGGAGAGGATGGGATCAGCTGCTCCCCATCCTCTCACGTGTCCACCTCCTGGACACCCCAGGCTTCCATGATCTCTGTGGTGATGAATGCAGAGGAATGCACATAAAAGACTGCTGCTGGCTGAAAGAGTTCTGCTCCTTGATTCAAATGGCAGATGGACAGTTATAGCGAAACAAACATAGTGAGACAATTTTTCCTTCTCTTCCATTAATTAAAATGTCTCATTCACCAGATATTTCTTTTCTTTTTTTTAAATATATCTTTATTCATTTCAGAGAGAGGGAAGGCAAGGGAGAGAGAGAGATAGAAACATCAATGATGAGAGAGTCATTGATCAAGCCCGCAACCCGGGCATGTGCCCTGACCGGGAATCGAACCCCGATCGCCTGGATCCCAGGTCAACGCTCAACCGCTGAGCCATGCCCGGCCGGGCCAGATACATCTTTTTCTCCTCCTTTGTTTCTAATAGTTCCAAAGCACAATGGCGCCTATTTCAGACTCAGGGACATCAATCACGTGATTCCCCTACTTTGTCTTATCTCCTTAACTCTGCCTTTTTGAAAAAATACTTAGGGATTTTTTTTAAAGTATTAAAATGAGTTCTACTTATTAAAAACTCAAGCAATAATGAAAGATCAAAGAAGAAAGCCACAAACTACCTCAATTTTTATAGCTATAAGTATCTGGTGAACACTATTTCACACATTTCTCTGTTCATATATACTGATAAGAAGGCAGTCTAGAGGGAGGAATAAATAAAAATACACAGAAATTATTTTAAGGAACTATAGCATGCACTGTATATTTGCTGTCCCTAGAACAGTGTTCTGGCTCATGGTAGGTACTCAGTACATTGTTGACAAAATTAGGTCTGTTGACTCATTGCAATAATGCAGACCATACCCCATAGGGTATCTCATCAAATAAAGGCAAAGAAAGAGTTATTATAGGATTTGGGGTAAGGGTGGAGTTTTGGTGAATATTAAATAAGGTAGAGTGTTGATAGGCTCAAAGCAAAGTAGGGCTATGTGTAAAAAGGTCAATATGAGGTCTTCATTGCAAAGTGGACCTGGGATCCTATTTCCACGGACACTACAAAGTTAAGAGATATGTGGACTGTTGTGTCCAGAGATCCCTTGTCTGCAGCTCTCTGTCCTGAGTGTAAATTGAGGCGGTAGGAGTTAGGAAATAAAGGGGAAAACTGGAGAATGTTTAGAAGGCAAAATCAACAGAACTTACTGACATTGGGCATGGAGTGAGGAAAAATAGTGAGTTGAAATTTGACTCCTCGCTTTATGGCTCCTGTGAGGGTAGAAGACCATGAATTTAGCTGATGCAAAATATTTGTAAACAACAGATTAGGGAAGCAGGAGAGGAAAGGGGCAGGATGATCATCTCAGTTTTTGACTTGTCGGATTTCTGGTTGCTGTTAGAACTCTGCTGTAATAGACGCACAGTAAGGAGGAGGTATGAGTGTGGAGACACCAGAGGCAGGGGTCAGAAATATAGATATGGACATAGATGCTCAGGAGTCATTCGCATTGTTTAGCAAGGGCCTACAAAGTGAGAAGAGTGCTGGGTCAAGAGAAGAACCCCAGAACAATTTCCCTACAATTTCAGGGCTGGCAAGATGAGCCCAAAGTAAGGCCACAAATGGACAGAGGAACTGCCACAACAGAGAAGCTGGGAGGGTTCCAAGGAAGAGAGTGCTCAGCTGTATCAACTGCAGTAAACAGACTCAGGAATGAAAGAACTAAAATTGCTTTTCACAATTGGCAGGTGGGTGGCAACCTCAGCCAGGGTAGCTACAGAAAAGTGAGTGGAGCAGAAGACTGATTTTGTTAATAATAAGTGAATCATGGGAAGAGGGAGCCTCCACCTTTCAGGAGCTCTTCTGAGAAGGGAAAGAGACAGGGCAGTGACTGCTGTGGGAATCGGGGTCAAGGGATGATTTTTAGCAAGAAGATGTTCCAGTGATTCACTTTTCCATCCCGTTAGAATCAGGATCTGATGAGATTCATTAAAAATATTTTAAAATATATAAATATTTTATATTCTTTTTCTGTACTCCCTTGAACGTCCATCTCAATAACTCACGCTGCATCCTCCTTCCTGCCCCTTCCCTTCCAATGCACACACACAGCCACATACACTTGATTCTGTAATAATGACCATGCATACCCCTTTTAGAAAGAATTCCTACTGGAACTCAACCCAGGAGGTGTGGCTATGGCACCACAACCAAAGTTGTGGAAGGATCAGATGAATCTTGAGCTCTGAAGGAAGGGCTCAGTTGCACATGTATTTAGTTGGATAACATAAAAGAAATCCTTCCAGGACAAACATTTAGGAAAGAGTAAAGTTCTTAAAAGATAAAACCAATAATATTTTTTATTTTATTTCCTGCACAGGTGGCGACATCAACCTATGAAAGCAGCCCAAAAAACCGCTCAGGCCAGCGAGCCCATCATGTTATGGCCCCGCTTTTGGATTTAAAGCTTTGTGGAAAGTGCAGGCTTCCAGGAGTTCTGTAGGGGCAGAGAAGAAAGGTAGGACAGTCAATATCTACCTATATTTACTTTCTGTTGAATGAATGAACAGTTAAACCTGATACAAAAGCATTCAGACCGTAGCCCCACTCTTCTGATGTCTGGACCAGTCATTCTCCCAGTGGCCTTCTCCACCTGCCTGCATAGCCCCTGTGCCTACCCCAGGTGGTGCCCCATCCCAAGATGGTAACACAATTTCCCTGCCCTGCATTATCCCCCACCTGGTGTCTTATAGGTAGAGCTCCCACGCCTGGGTCCATGTGATTGCAAGGAGCCTGAGAGCACTGTCTTCTCTGACTTCTTTAGGCAGGTGAGGAACCTCCATAGCAAGATGCACTAGGCACCTGGCATCTGCCAGTTTCCATACTAGGGGCTGGGAGTGGAGCAGAGAACAACAGAGCCAGATTTTCTCCCCTCTTGGAGGATATAGGTTAGGTAAATATAACCTGGGCCTCACAACAGTGGTCACAGGAAAGCATGTTCCTTACGTCAGAATTATGTGGGGCAGCTGTTAAAATGCAGAACCCTGACTGTGGCACAAACTTGCTGAATCAGTATCCACAGGGCCTGGGAATCCATACTTTAAGGACTGTGGCTCACTTATATGCATACAAAGTTGACGTATATTCACCCTATAACCATGTTATTCTCTCACATCTTCCAAATGATTTCAAGTGATTGAATCATGTCCAACATGGATATAGTGCAAAGGTGTGTTTTATTGTATTTTAATTCTAAGAAAACTGGTGTTTTAGATGAGTAGTATGTGTGATGACTTTATAGTCACCCGAACTTATCATTGTTCAAGCTCTCAAGAGCAGGGCTGTGTTAAAGAACTTTCTGTGATAATGGAAATGCTATCTTGCTTACCTGTGTGGAGCCACATGTAGCTGTTGAGCACTTGAGTTGTGGCTAGTGTGACTCAGGAACTAAATTTTTCATTTGTTTAATTTTAATTAATTTTAATTAAATTTGTCACATGTAGCTAGGGGCTACTGTATTGGACAATGCAACTCTGTATTAAAAGAAGGATTTTAGTGCAGAGCAATGGGCATGGGCACATAAACCTCTTCCTTTTCTTAGTAATAACATGGAATTCTGCATATCTAGGCAGTTCACTACTTTAGTACTCTGAGCCCATGGCCTCCTTGCCAACTACCCATACAAGTAGCCTTCATATGTTCTGGGATTTAGCTGTCCCCTCATTGTTTCATTTTGTCCACTGGTCATCTCCTGGGGGCTATAGCTCACTTCTCATTTTTTACCCACCACCCAGGACCCTATTCGCAGCTTCCCCCATGCTGTTCTTCCTACTCACTTGAAGTTGAGCATTGTTTCAGGTTAGCCACAGCAGTAACATATTCTGCTCCTAAGTAGGATTCATATGTTGTCTTGTCCTGAAGTTTGGCCAAACATTTTGTATCATCCCTGAACAGAAGGTCCTTGGTTTTAGATTGGAACAAACAAAAGTCACCCAAGCAGGTATTTCCTTTTTTTCCAAATAAGTCCTGTCAAATGAATAGAAAGTACATGAGGACCTGCAGCAGTGAGCAACTAGGAGCACATGGATGGGATGGAGGAGGCTAAAAGCTAGGAACCAGCTTTGGGAAGAAAGGGAAGCTACAGAGGATGCCTCAGGATCTCTCCACCTCCTTCACCTGGTGTTCACCCACTTTTGACCATGGCTCCATGCTTTCATGAAGTCCCAAAGTCTTGTGTAGGCTTCCTCCTGGTTCCACCTTCTTTGTGAAGTCCCTCCCACCCAACCACCCACTCCTGATTTCTCTGACCTCTCTGCCCCACTTCCTTGGCCATGGCCTTGTGGGCTGCTTCCAGGAAATGAGAGGACAAACAGAAACATGTCCCTTCCAAGTGTCATTGTCAAAGGAGACATTAAACGTGAGCCACCCAAAGAGGGATGGTAAAGGTAGTTGTTACTAGATCATGTTTGACTACATCTTTTATTTTTAATCTTTACCTAAGGATATGTTTTTATTGATATTTAGGAAGAAAGGAATAGGGAGAGAGAAACATCGATGTGAGAGGCACATCAATTGGTTGTCTCCCATATGCACCCCAACCAGAGATCAAACCTGCAGCCTAGGCACTGGGAATCGAACCCACAATCTTCCGGTGTATGGGACAATGCTCTAACCAACTGAGCCACCTCGCCAGGGTTTGACTACATCTTTGATCCTATCTTAGGCAAGAGGCTTAATTACTCCAGGCTTCCTAAGGTTATAAGTGAAATGATGATTATAAAAAGTGTAGCATTCCTTTTAGCACCTAGGAAATCTTCATTAAATCTGAATTATTATTATCATTTACCTTAAGAGGACTCAAAAAGATATGCTATCTTAATTTTTAAAAAAAGAAAACATGGCGAATCAATAGGTAGGAAGCTGTTGCTGAGGAGAAGGTGGTGTTTGTGGGTAGAGGAGCCTTTAGGATTAGAAATCTCAGGCAGCCCCTCTCCCCACCAAGGCTGGCCTGGCTTGTTGTTGTTTTTTTCCAGAGGAGAAGCTCTGTAAGGGTAGGGGTCTTGGATTTTCTGGATATTGGAGCAGTTCTAAGTCTGTCTAAGTAAGGGAAAGGGAAACACAGATCTGCATTTCATGACCTGTGTCAAGGAGGTCTAGGAAACAGACTCAGTCCCTTTCATTTAAAAAAATGCTGATGTGCAGAAAATGAGGGTACCACAGAGCAAAGTCAAGGGCAAAGCAGGAAGGCAGACCTGAAGACATGCACATCAGATGGGCACATCAGTGACCAGGAGAGCCAGGCCTCAGAGATCCAGTTCCACGATCCATACCCTCTCAATTCTAGTTTCCAGAAAGAGAATGTTAGAATGTGGGCTGCATTTAGCTGTGAGCTCTCCCCAAATAATCCACACCACCCAGAAAGAAGGTGGGAGGCCCCAGCTGGCTCATACCTGCTGGTCAAGTAACATCTGGCGAACACAAGCTGCCTTATCTTCCCTTGAGACCACACCATGATTTGGGGCTCGGGCTAGGTGGCAGTTCTCAGCTTCGGTCACATCCTTCCTGGTGCCATCAGTGCACAGCAGCTTGAATTGGTCCTGCGTTAGGCCCTTAGCCCAGTCATCAGTGTTATTTCCTAGAGATAGAGAAGATGGGTCAGCCACAGCTCACAGCTTTGGTCAAGTCATCCTCTCCGGGGGGAGGATATGACCAATCCACTGGATCCAGTGGCCAGCAGAAGTCCACACTCTGAGGTTATAATGATGTGGAGAGGAAGAGACTTAACAGGAATTCCTAATGACCACTCCTTCCGATCTGCCCCACCCAGCCAGAAAAGAGTGGACTATGTTCTGTGCATGCTGTTCAAAAAGTTCTTCATTCCTACTAAATCCCAAAGCATTTGGATCTCTTGCTTCAGTGCAGGAAGAACACGACCCTCAACTGGTTGGCATCTCTGTGCTATGTCTTCTTACGCCAACAAGCAAAAGAACTTTCCCCAGAAGCCCTTTCAGAAACCGCAGCAGTGTTTCAAGTCTGACTTGCTCGTGATGGTTCTATGTGAAATGTGTATATTCCTCTGTGCACACAGGCCCATAGCCTGTTCTCAGCCCTTCGCTCCATCTTCTCTGTATTCTCTCTGGAAAAGAAAGTCTCGCCCATTCTCAGGGTTTTGGCTCCTTCCTCCGGAGGCTGTTCTCAAATATGTTTTCCCACTTTTACTTCTCTCCTAATCTTTTTCATGAATTCACTATTATAAAATTTTATATTATTTACATAGAAGGTTAAAAGACCTGTTTCCTACACTCCCAAAATGTACACTTAATTTTACTAGAAAACTCAAATTGCCTGCCTCTCCCCCACTGCATAGTCTACTTTGTATGTGAAAATGACCACATGGCAATTTAGGTTAGGCCTCCTCTCTAAATTCCTCTCAAGAGGTAAAACTTTTGGAGTCATTTCAGAGAGTGGAGAGTCGAAGCCTAGGAAGGGGAGCTCTACTCAGAAAAGTACAAAAAGAAATCAAGGAGTGTCAAAGAACCAGTCTTAGGGTGACCCTCGGTAGCAGGAAAAAGGACAGCCCTTGAAAAAAGAAAAAAATAATAGCAGGGAGGAAAGAAAATTAGCCAAACCGATATTCCTTCAGCGTTTATATGCCACATACTATAGTTGGTGTGGGGATATAAGAGAAGGAAAAAAAGAGCTCAAAGATTTCCTGTGGCCACAGTTGATTATAGAATGTGATGAATTCAACAACACTAGCAATATGGACAGGGGATTCTGTTGTGGATGTACATGTGCCATCAGGGAAGACTTCTTGGAGGAGGTGGTTCCACATGAGTTCATTCTAGATGAGTTGTTGGAAAGATTTGAGGTTGTGTGAAGGGACATGAGGAAAGGAAGGGAAGTAATAGCTGCCTACCTGTAGTGGGTTCTATAAGCAGTAATACAGAGCGGGCAGGTGGAGTACTCATTCTTAACAGCTTTAAAATCTTTTTTTAATTTTTTAATTTTTTTTAATCCTGAGGATATTTTTTTTATTGATTTTTAGAGAGAGAGGAAGGGAGGGAAGGAGGAAGAGAGCAAGAGTGAGAGAGAGAGAGAGAGAGAGAGAGAGAGAGAGAGAGAGAGAAACACTGATGTAAGAAACATCAATGCCTCCCATATGCACCCCGACCGGGAATCGAACCCACAACCTAGTTATGTGCCCTGACCGGGAACTGAACCCACAACCTTTTGTAGTACAGGACAATGCTCCAATCAACAGGACAATACTCCAGCCAACTGAGCCACCTGGCTAGGGCTTGTTTTTGAATGTTATAGCCATTCAATATTCACCCACTAGTTTTAGTATCCAATAATGATTCTTGATTGAATAAATTATTACTATATTGTTTGCCAAGTGATAGTTTTTTAACTTAATAATTATTTCTCCATTTGTTAGGTAGCATTCTACAATAAGATATGTTCCTTTACCTTTGTTTGTTTAATCAGGATGGACTCATATATTCTTATTTTATTCAATGGGTTATTACCACTTACATTATTATTATTATTATTATTATTATTATTATTATTATTATTATTATTATTTTAATGCTCAGAATGCCCCAGATTTGGCCAGTGCGAGGTCCTTCAAAATGGCTCCTATGTGCTTTCACATGTCCCATCACTCTGAGCACTTCCATGTGCTGTTCCAAGCTCACCTTATATTTTTCCTGCCTAGCTCTAGAATCAGCTATTGTTCTAAGGGGCCCTAGTTCCTTTTATTGGAGGTGGCTTAGAATCCAAGATCCTGGTGCTCATCCCTACTGGTGTGCCACTGTCTCTAGGTTTTTCAGTGGACATAGAATGTATTGGAATATATATTGGACCTGCAAAAAGAGGAAATAATTATGAAGGACCCTTTTGCGATGATTCAGAAAAGTTGAATATGGACTATGGACCTGATGAATATTAAATCCATGTTATTATAAATATCCTGATCTTGGTCATTGTAATGTAGGTATAAAAGAGAATGTTCTTGTTCTTAAGAAATGTGCCCTGAAGTATTTAGGGAACAGGCAGCATAAAGCCTGCACCCTTGGTAAGGTTCCTGGGAGAGAATTCAGGGCCACTGGAACCTCACATTTCTTACCATTCTGCTTCTCCAGGTGAAAACTTCTCTCTTAACTGTTTAGAATCAGAGCTTTGGAGCCCGATAGAGTCCATTGAACACTTTCACCAAGGCATCCTGAACACAAGGGAACACAGCAGCCCTGATTTATAGGGATAGAGGAGCATGTGCACATACCGTTAGTGTTCTGAAAGACAGTCTGGTCTTTCACAAAGGCCACGTCTCCACTCTCAACCAGACACCTACAGAGAACCAGATAGGGAGAAAGAAGAGAGGAAGTCAGTGAGATACATCTGTCATTCAGGACTACCTTATAGATCTAGGGCTGGCCATCTCACATTAGCAATTGTGACTCCCCTTGTATCACTAATCTATTGTTACAAATAATAGATTATCACTAATCTTACATATATTACAAATGTAAGTAATAAAGAAAAAGAAACCTCCAATTTGCTTTGTAGTTACATAATCTTGGTTCCACACATTATATCTTAAATTCTGGCACAGTTTCTCCAACAGAGAGCTACATCATTTTCTTAGCATCAAAACAGATATTAGAGAGTAGTTTTCCAGTGAGGTGATATCTTACTCACACTCTACTTTGTAAAATTGGAAATGTGTAGACTGTGATTGTAGACTGTGATGTGTAGACTTTAACCCACAAAGTGGTTCTAACTGATACATTGAGATAACCTTTGTTTTTTCTTCACTGAGAAGTTCAATTACGATACTACCATCATTGTGCAGCTGATGGATTCATGAACTACTAAGTAACACAGGCCTGAATCAGAAAGGATAGCTAAAAAGTAATAAGATCATAAGGTATCTCTATAAAAATGATAAACATTCTATGAAATAGAATTGTAGTTGGGAATATAGAATTGTGTACTTTACTTTTGTATATTTCCAAGTGAGTGTGGTTGTAGGTTCCCCAGAAATACATGGAAGAACATGAGCCAGGCCCCTGACTCCTATATTCAACTATGGTAGTGCTCCTTCACATTGGCACTTGTAACATTTTGAGCCAGATAACTCTTTGTCGTAGGATGCTGTCCTATGCATGCAGGATGTTTAGCAGCCTCTACCAATTAGATGCCAGTAGCACCCTCACCCCACCCCAACCTGCTCCAGCCCTATTTGATAATCAAAAGCATCTCCAGAACCCTGGCCAATGTGGTTCAGTAGTTAGAGTGTCAGTCCACACACCAAGGGGCTGCAGGTTCAATTCTCAGTGAAGGGCACATACCTGGGTTGCAGGTTCAATCCCAAGCCCCAGTCAGGGCACATGTGGGAGGCAACCAATTGATATGTCTCTCTCACATAGATGTTTCTCTCTCTCCCTCCCTCTCCCTCCCTCCCTTCCAACCTTCCACTCTTACTAAAAAAAAAAAAACAATGGAAAAATATATCCTCAGGTGAGGATTAACAAAACAAAACATCTTCAGACACTGCCAGATGTCCCCAGGGGCAAATTGCCCTCTGTTGAGAACTTCTAATTTGCACCATACTGCCAATCTTTGCTGTCTATGACAGCCAGGTCCTGGAGATGGTGTTCTGGAGGGGCCTGGATGCCCCTTCACACAGGTTCTACATATGGTTGCTGAATGTGGCACCGATACATGCAGAACTAACAGGCTAGTAACATAAGAAACTCACTTTAGTTCCTAAAAAGGAATCTTGTGAGAGCTGGGAGTATTATTATATTCATATCAGGGTTATAAGACTTACCTGAAAGCCCCCGTGTAGCCATAGTATCTCTCGTTGTTGTTGGGTTCACACTCCTTTCCTGGACTATTTTTCGAACCAATACATAGAGCACAAAGACTGGAACTTTGGTCATACCCAGGGGCACAGCCTTGACTGAAAAATTTATCTGTGCAGAAAGGCAAGAGGAAGTCAGCTTTTCCTAACTAAGTTGATATGAATGGCCTTCATCTAACACAATAACAGGTGTGTATGGCCCAAGACAGGTAGAACATATTTATTCTGGGACCTGCCACCAACTTGGGACCTGCCAGGCTGTAGGATTAAAGGGAAACTTAATTAAGACTGGGAATAGAAGTTAGTGACCATTACAATTTGGATGGAGAGAATTCTATGGACACCCTGAGAGTGTTATCACTTATCTAGAGAAAGAAGAGATGGAAATGACATAAAGGGGATAAAATTAAAGGTCTCCCTCCCTGAACTTGTACCACCTGTTTTCAGATGTTTTCTTCTCCTACCATTAATTAGAAGAGGCTTTAATAGAACTTAGAACTCCAAGCCCAAAAAAGGGCTGGGGAATTTTAGTCACAGCTCAGCTGCCCTTCCCTGGCTGTAAAACTTCCAGGAGACTCAGGAGAGCAGAGGTGGTGCCCTTGCTGGCTGGGAACCAGAACTTCTGAATATCACCCCAGCCACTCTTCACCTCCTGTCAAACTGGTGTCATAGAACAACTGGGTGCATAAATGCAATCTCCAGTCCACACACACAGGACTTGTCTGGTTCATAACTGTTTTTAGAGGCCTCTCCTTTTTACATTAGTTGCACATATTTGGAGGTGGCAGGGAGGACATACTCAGGAAGTTCATGTAAATGAGAACGCTTAGGAAATATTTGTCCATGGTGAACTTACACATGGGTTTTTAGGGGCTATAACTAAGCTCATACCTGAAGATATTCAGAGGACAGAGAATATACTGACTCGCACCCCTTGGAAGGGTCCTGGAAATGGGCAGTCACTTGGTTAGCCCGAAGGCAGGGATTATAGCTGTTGACCCTGTAGCCGTTTCCCCTTGTTCCTTAGTAACAAAGATCTAGTTTTTTAAATTGTTTTCTCCATTAATTATTTTTACTGGTATATAATTGACATTTAACATTACATTTGTTTCAGGTGTACAACATAATAATTGTGATCATATTGTGAAATGATCACTACAATAAGTCCAGTTAACATATGTTGTCTACAGTTACAATTTTTTTTCCTTATGATTGAGAAATTTAAGATCTCTCTTAGCAACTTTTAAATATGTAACACAGCATTAACTTTAGTCACCATGCTGTACATCACATCCCCATGGCTTATTTCATAACTGGGAGTTAGTACCTTTTGACCCCCTTCACCCATGTTGCCCAACCCCACCCGTGGCCTCTAGCAACCACCAATGTGTTCTTTGTATCTATGAGCTCAGTTTGGTTTCTTCTTTTTTTTTTTTAGATTTCACATATAAGTGAGATTACACAGTATTTGTCTTTCTCTGTCTGACTTATTTCACCTACTATAATGCCCTCAGTGGTCCATCCATGTTGTTGCAAATGGCAAGACTTCCTTATTTTTTATGACTGAATAATATTCCATTGTGTGTATATGTATCTCCCATTTTCTTTATCCATTCATCTATCGATGGACAGTTAGGTGGTTTCCACATTTTGGTTATTGTAAATAATGCTGCAGTGAACATGGCAGTGCATATATCTTTTTGAGTTAGTGGTTTTTTCTTTGGATAAATACCCAGAAGTAGAATTGCTGGATCATATGGTAATTCTATTTTTAATTTTTTTAAAAACAAAGATCTGGTTTTATTTGGGCAGAAACATGCCCAAATAAAAGATGACATTTTCCAGCTAAGTGGACTATGTGCCTAAATTCTGAGCAGCAAGAAGTTACTTGAAGTAATTGGATTAGGTTTCCTCGATGGCTTCTTTAATAAGTTAACAGCAGGTGGCATACACTTTAAGTTGCAACTTGCTCCTTGCTCCTTGCTCCTTGCGGCTTCCTGGATTATGGATGTGATGGCATTTTATGGATGACCTTGAAGATGGAGGCCTCGTGCTCAGAATGGTGAAACAGAAGAGAGAAGGAGCCTGGGTTTCTAATGATCATGTCAGCATGGACTGCTCACCTCTCCTCTTTTCCATAAGAGAGAAAGGTAATCCATTATGTGCAACCAAAAGGAACCATTCTGATTCACCTCCCCAGCCCTACTGTCCTTTTAGGTATTTCCTTGAGGTTCACTTTAACCAAATTTGAACTACTATAGAACCAGGGCCACAGCAGAATTTTGTACCGGACCACTCTCTTCCCTCTTTCTGGGCCGCCCTGACTACAGTGACGTCCCAGGATTGACTCACCAAATTCACAGTGGTTGATCTTGCTATACAGCAGGCCCATGGGGATATTCCAGCCAGCGGTTCTATCTACTGCAGTGTGGCAGGACTTCCTGCCTTTTAGAGAGTTCCAGGTGAGGTCATCTGGTGATGATGACTTAACCACGGCCACAGCAAGATACCCTACAGGAAAGACGCCAAAAAAGGATGTATTAACACCTCTAGGCCCCCCAGAATGTCTGTCAGCAGTCAAAGCCTGCAATCTCCCTATGGAAGCAAAATTATTCTGAATCATTCCTACTGTCTTTGAAAGGGCCCTTCCCAATAACAGAGTGAGGTAAAGTACAAGTCACTCTGTCAGGTAAAGATTAATCTGAACTGAAAAATCAAAATAGTAAGAATATATTATCATCAGAGCAATGGCTGATGTATGACCCTTCCCGAATGCACAAAGCTACTGAAGTTCTAAATCAGCAACTCACCCTTCACTGTGGAATATCAGAGGAATGAATATTGATGAGTACATGTAACTCCAACATGATACACACTAACAACTATTAGGAAAGATTAGTATATGACCAATAAACTGCAGGGAATATTCTGGCCAGATATTTTATAATAAGAAGAATACGGGTTTGCACCAAAATAAATATGTGAAATGGAAACTGTCAAAATCAAGTCAGGTGCCATCTTTAGCAGCAAATAGTTGCTGATCCTTAAAACTGGGAATGGAATATCAACCTGTGATTTCAACTTTCTAATTTAACTCAATAACTTGTTTATAACAGAAAACAGAGAAGTCCTATTATCCATGGAATAAGAATAGGCCTTTCTATATTCTGCTGCTGAGCTTGGCTCCTAGAGTGATGGGGAAAGGCTGGGAGGTTGTAATCAGGGGAAGTTATAATGAAAGACTTGCATACTAGTAGCTGGAAAATGACCTGGAGAGGCCTGAGCATAGGGGTTCTGGGGCCCGATGCTCCCTGGGGTGTAAGACTTCCTGACTTGCTCCCACCCCATCTTTCCAGATCCACTCCAGCTAGAACCCTGGGCAAGAGCCAGATTGACCTGGGTTACTGAGCCCAGCCCTGGCTGAGAGACTAGGTAATTTCATGCTCTTAGACATCTGTGTGTGTTAGCTTTTCTCCTCAGCCCTGCCAGACACAAATATGCAAGGCTTCTTGGCTGGTGCTAACTCTCACCTGAAACTGTACAGGCCTAATGTAATGCAAGGCACTCAGGAGTGGTGAGGAAGGTGTGGATTTGCTTACTGGACATAGGAGCCTAGATACTTATAAACTCTCTCAGCCACTGGTCCTCTTATACATCCTTAGGGGATGACAAGACCTACCTCATAGGATTAAATGGGAAATCCTTTGTGCAAGTCATGGCAAGTGTAAAAGAGTAACCATCATTACCATTTATCTTTCCATGATTCTTTTGCATTCTAAAAATTGATCTTTTCCATTGCCTTATCTATTTTTGATTTGAATTTAAACTTATCTTCCCCTTTCCCAAAAGCAATGGAATTTATCTTATACTCAAGAGGTTACCAATCCCAACTCACCTTTTTCCGGTGTGGTCTCACAATTTTCATAAGTTTCTGGAGAAAAGAAAATGAAGAAGTCATTAAATACTCATTTATATTTTGGAAATCATGCCTTTCCCATGTTGCAAATCAGAATAAAAAGAGCCAGGAAAACTACATATCACCAATTCCCAAAAAGCCCAGGCTCTCTTGATTGTGCAAATTCACTTTAACTCACTGTCCAACGGAATTTAGCCCAAAATTATTAATTTTGAGTTTCCTGCTCTGTCCTGTGGCCACAGTGGTCCCTGCAACTATACTTGAATCCCTGCACCAGGACAACAGGAGAAGGGTGAGTTTTGCAAGCAAGAAGACCTGCCAGGAATCCCAACTGAGAATCCCAACTGTTCTCTGCACTGGGGTCTCTTTTAACTAGAACTTTGCAATGTTCTTAACTAGAACATTTCCCCTGGTGGGAGGTACAATAGAAGATCTATCCTTCAAGATAACTGGCGATAGAGATGAGGGAGCCCAGAGCCTGAGAAGTAGGAGGTGAGTAAGCAAGAGCTTTATGGCCAATGTGGTATGAATCAGGCTATGATTTTCCCACCTCCTTTCTTCATGGCCTAGAGTAAATAAAACACTGAGAGGCGCCCCCTCCACTTACTATAGTTCTCTGCCAGGACAGGCACCAGACCACACATGCCCGCGATGTAGATGAAGCCTCCATCCAAGCTCATGGCATCAGCTTCTCCTTTCTGCAAAGACACAGCGCATCACAGCAGATGAAAAGAGGCCATTTCCTGTCCCATCTGCCCCTCTAGGTGTTTCCTTGAAGAAGTCTTCCCAGCACAGGTCATGAAGGACCAAGGAGACAGTTTTTGCTAGTTCTGGACCCCCAAAGGATCAGCCAAGCACACCCAGCATACAAAGTAAAATGTACTCTCATTTTCACCCAAACCATCATGAACTGATGATCAGTTCTGGGTGCCTTGCTTAGTTTTTTCAGGAGCAAAGACCCACATTCAGTCCGCCTGTCCTCTAATAGGACACACTGTCTCAGAGACATTCTCACAACACCCTTCTAACACCAAGAATTCTCCTTTGTAAGACAGATGAGTGGAGCCCAGCTCTAAGGAGCCCATCAGATCCACAAGCTCAAAAGTACTGAAGGTCCTGTAGGGCTGGGCTCCTAAAATGAGGGCAAAACTAACCCATTTTGGCCAATGACTTGGTTGCCCACATATCTGATTATTCCTGGGTTTTCATATCATTCCCAGGAATGCTTGCTCAGCCTTAGGGACAGGCAGGCAGCAGTGGCAGAGGTGCTGCCCTATGGAGGCAGGAGTGACATACCATGATCTTGGCAATGCAGTCTTCAGTGGTCTCTGCTGATTCACACTCTATTCTCCCTCCACTGTTTACACTCCACTCATCACACTTGACCCTCTCGTGGTGGCCTATTGCACACCACTTCACATTCCTGCATTCATCCTTTGAGGTATCTGGGCCTAGGGCATAAGAAAGAGAATGGGAATTCAGATGAGACACCAGAAGCTGCCTGCTGGTTATGAATGCTACTGACTGTCTTCATGAAAAGGCTGGGATTTGCCCAAACATATCCCATTCAAGGGATTAATCATCTTAGAAAGCATAGGCAATAACAATCTCTTGGTTGACTTCTTATCATTTAGATTTAGCTTAAAATTATTTCTTCTGAGAAGCCAACCATTCTTCCAACCACCAGGCACAATATCACTTCAGGCTAGTTTTTTCCTCTTCTTTTTGAAATAACACTTAGCTACCTGAGCTGTTCTTATTTATTTGTTCATTGTTTATTGTCTGTTCCCTGTTAGGAGAACAGAAGCTCAGCCAGGCAAGGGCCATGCCTGTCCCTTTTCTCCACAGCATCCTCATTGTTCAGGACAGTGCCTAGCTCGTGATCAGCACAATAAATGTCTGCTGAGTAAATGGACACCTACTTAACCATCAGAGTCAACTCAAGAGCCACTTCCTCAGAGAATCCTTACCTCAACTCCAGGACCTGTTTTTGTTTTCATGGTCTCATAGGACCATAGTATTTTGTTGTGGTTCCCCCTCCCCCCCTTCTTTTGAGTAAATCTCTCCTTTTTAATTGATCATTCAATAGAATGACTATCTATTGGACATTTGTCTTCTCCACTGGTGAGAAAGTTTCATGGTAGCAGAATCTAATATATGTTTGTCTCACCATTATATACCCAGCACCTAGCACAATCTATGGCCAGATAATCAATCAGTCTCTGTTGAATGAATGAGTGAATGAATGAATGAATGAATGATCAAGCAAACCTCTAGTGACCGAAGGAAATTCAGGAACAGGATGGACCTGTCTAGAGCTCTAGCTTCACTAAGCCACATGTTGATCATAGTACTGGCTGTAGATATGAAATTAATTTCATTCTCTTTGACTTACTTTGTGCCAGGCTAATTGGCTTCACAAAGTGGTTGGGGCAGTCTGATTTATACAAGGGAAATAATGTCATTTTAAGCATGACTTTCCTTTAATGCCCTTTGGTGATGTCCAGGCTTATCTCATGATGATGAATGCCATTTAGCATCTATCCAACAGGTAGGGCAGATAAAGGAACATCAGGGCAGGCGTTCAGTACTTGGACAGACTCTATCACTGGTCCCTGCCCTCAGCAGGTTTCGAAGCTCCTGCCCTCACCGTGTTTCCAAGCTCCTAAGATCATATGATCCTTCCCAAGTACTTACGTGTCTCTTCCCTGAGATTCCGAAGAGCAGTGACGTACTCATATCCCAGGTACATCCAGGAGTCCATCTTAGGGGGAACCTTTAAAAACCCTTGGGCAGAATCCTTAAACAGCAGGTCCTTCCCATGAGGGGAGCTGAAGAGCTGGAAGTCTTTAGATTTATCTCTGCCATAATGTTCCTGTTTATAGTAAAACAACAGTGAATGGCTACAGTGACAAAGTAGGCTGTGAGATGGAACTAAAGAAAAACAAAAATCTAGAAAACAAAATTAAACCATGAAATTTTCGAGATGCCAGGAAAGAGGGTAGTCAGGCCTGCTCTTTCCTACCCATCACCTTTGCTACTCATAGCCTTCTGGGAGATACGCCACATCCTTTTTCCCTGGACATGTTTCTGTGCTTGTCTCCCTGGCTGGGTTGATGGCTGAGTGCAAGGAAAGTATCTCCATCAGAGGCTGACACTGTGTGATTGCCACTTAAACTCTTGATGGACAGATGGGAGGGCTAGATGATAGACAGTTGGCTCATTTCTGGCATTCTGCTGCTCTAGGGATGTAAAGCTGGTGATGCATGCAGCTCCCTTGTAGTCAGGTTGAGAGACATCAAGAAAGAGACCATTTCCTCCTAGGAAAGTCATGGAAGGCCTCATGGGGGCATGGGTGTTTGCCCTTGTCCTAGAAGGCCTGATAGATGGAAAAAAATGGAATAGAGCAGTAAGGAGCATCTTCATGTCACTGGTCCAAAATGTAGGGATCTGTCAGACAACAAGGCAGAACTAGGCTCTGTGCCACTCTGAGAACAGTCCCTGCTGAGCACTTTTAGATAAGTGGATGGTGTGTGGCATAATCCCCACTATGTCCTGAAAACAGAAGGTTCTACCATGGCAATAAGGGAATGAAGGAAAATGCCCCAAATCCAAGCAAGGACCAGTAAGCAGGAGGGAAGACAGTAGATTTGGTACCTGGGCCTGGTTGAGAAGCTCCCAGATCAAGTCCTCCTTGCCACCCACACTTCGGGCCACAACAGCATGGGAAGGGACGCTGGCCAGGTGGCACTCATCATATTTGTCTACTGGCTTTCGGGTGTTGTCCCTGCAGAGCAGCTCATACTGGTTCCTGTCAGACTGTTGTGCAAGGTTCTCTGGGGGAGGAAAGTCCAGGTGAAGGTACTGCAGGAAGAGCCATGAGCTGTGGTCCCCCCTCCCCCTCCCTTGTAATCCCACTGTGTCATGAAATGTGTGAGTTTAGAAGCCTGGAGCAACACTGAGGGCCAGAGAACACAAGGAAACTGACTTGCTTAAGATCCCACAACCAGTTACAAGAAAGAAAGCTTCAGGTACCCAGTGCAGGGGTGAGTGCCTCATACCCCACATTGGTCTCATCTCAGTAGGCTGACTACAGGCCAAGATTGTCCAGATCTGTCCCCAATCCTTTGCTGTGGCAACACTTAACAGAAGGAAGGGACCCTGTGTCCAGGAGATTGAATGATGGAAAGAGGCCCATGAGTCCAACGGGGGACCACACAGACACATACCTCTGCACAGGCAGAAACCCAAGAAGGAATACACTATGCTCATGTCTGACTACTGAGCATGAAAAAGGAGGCAGGAAAAAGAGAAGGCCCACTGTTTGGAAGAGATCTACAAATTCTTCTATCACTTACCCATTACTGTCAAGTGCTTGACAAAGGCCACGTCCCCAGCACCATCCATCAGACACCTGTGAGAAGAAATACATTAGGAGGATTTCTGCGGGACAGATCCTTCTCCTTGGGCTTGATGGTCTGATCACACTGTCCAGCCCTGGGATAAAAGGAGAGCCTGATGGAGACCTCTGCAGACCAACAGTAGAGGACACGCCATGGGGCTCTGATATCTTCGGTACCACCGATGTGGGAGGGATGAGCTCACAGGAGCTAGAGGTCCTTCACCATGTGCCCCAAAGGAGCAAAAAGGCAATGAAGATATTTCAGTACAGAGAAGAACTTTCAAACTTCTGAAATGGAGGGTAAAGGCATAGTATCTCCTGAGGGGAAAAAAGTACCCTTATCTTGCTATAAAACCAAGAGAAAAGAAGCAAGAAATGAACCATGTGACAATCTGCAAGGAGGCCAGGAGGGGAGGCGGAAGAGAGGCCAGTACATTGAGAAAGGGACACTGCTGCAATAGAAAACAGAGGCCACTCCCTGAAAAATGGGCCGGACACTAAGGAAGTGCCTGTCCCCTCCGGCTATGCCCAGTACAGTGAGAGGACAGAATGGCCAGATTCAAGGGCTCAGGGAAGACAGAAGAGTTCCCAGAAAAGGGGTTTCCTTATCAATGTCACATGAAGGGAGCGTGCACTGGCCTGGCCTAGAGAGTCCCAGGTGGACCATTGAGTCACAGGGGATTAGGTCTCGGGAACACTCCCGTTGTAGGCTGGACTCTGCTGTGAGTCAGAGAGAGTTTCCTAGCCTGAAAACAATGAACACTTCAGCTGCCATGGAGCAGCAGCCAGTCTCACTCACTTGAAGGCACCCGAGTAGCCAAAGTACGGTTCGTGGTTGGAGCAGGCACACTTGTCAGCCCCTTTTCCCGCACACAGCTGACACAGGTTGGGGAAGGCTGTCCGATCCGCACAGGGGACACAGCTGCCCGCGAAGAAATTGGACGCTGCTGCTCGACACAGAGATGTGGAACACAAGGCATGAGCCAGCCTGGCCAAAGACATTTACAGCTCCCAGCCCAGGCTCACGAGTGAACAGAGGGTGACCAGAACCACCATAACAGGCCCAACTTGCCCATGTATGTGTTCACTCGTCAAGATCAAGGTTTCCAAAAAGAGACGTGTTAACAACTATTCTCCCACAGCCCTCCCCAAGAACCAGGGCTGTGCCTACCACCAGCCAAGGCCTGTCTCTTGTTGCTGTCAGGTCCCCTCCCTGCCTCGTCACACTGGAACAGCTCAGACAGACGTCTCCCCTGGAAGCCATGCCCAGGAGATGAGACCCACCAGGACAGGTGCATGCCAAGCTCATGGCCAGCAGATGGCCACCAGAGAATGCTCCAGCAGAATGGGAAACACATGAGCCACACAAAGGAAAGCACCCCAGGGAAGTGGACAGTAGGGCCCAGGGACCCTGATCCTGCCTGAACCCTCTGTCAGGACTGATGCCCTTCCCCTTCCACTCCTCCTAAAAGCCTCTGCTGAGGTGTCGAGAGCCCAGTGAACAGACTCAGCTGAAACGTCCCAAGGGCTGCTGGTGTGGTAGACCTGACCAGTTTAAAGCGGGTTAACCTCCCACCTCCACCCCAAGAATTATCACACATGACCACCTGATCATGTCTGAGTGAGCTCAGGGTGGCCTGTGTAGCACCTAAAGAAGGGACATCTGCCTGAGGACACGCAGCCCCCTGCCTGCTTACCTTTCTGAAGAGATTCACGTGGCTCAGGCAGTTCCCAGTAGAGTAAGCCCATGGGGATGTTCCACCCAGCAGACCTGCCAAGGCCTGTGTGGCAGGACTTCTTGCCTTGGAGCTCGTTCAGCTGGAAGCCGCTGCCCTTCTTCACCACGGCCACAGCATAATAGTGGGTTTGTGGATCTGCAAAGAAACAGTGAATGGGAGACCCGCAGCCTGGGCCTCAGGGAAACATTGCTCATCACTGCTGGGCTCCTGACTAGGGAAGGGGAACCCACAAGCCACGCTTTTGTGGGGTTGGGTCCTAGAAAGGGAGGGATCATAATAACTTTCCTAGGCTTGCAGGGACGGAAAGGACCACAGAGGGGACAAACGCAGGCAAGAAAGCCACGTGCACATGTGCCCCAGTGATTTTCCCTACTCTGGCCGTGCAGGTTGTCTGCCTACACCTACCAACCTAAGCCTACAAGGAAACTGGAGGTCACATTCCTGACTCTAAGTATTTCCTGGGACCCAGAGACACAGGGCCAGGGACAGTCAGATTACTCTCAGAAAAAGACACAAGGCTATTGGGACTCTGAGTGTTTGCTCTAGTGTAGTCTTTCCTCTGCATGAGGCACCCATGGTTCTTGGGGACATCTGTATACAGCTCTAAACTCTCATGGTCCAGGTCGGGCTGTACACAGCCTGCTCTGTTTCTCCAGGGAGCACATTTCCTGGCCCAGGAGATCAGTGTCAGCAGCACCAGTCCTCAACCAGCCCTAAGTCACAGAGGCTCTGAGCTGTGCCTGTGGGGCTCATAGGGCACCACATTGCCCACTCACTCCTCCATTACCTGCCTAAACAAGACGAGAGTCTACCAGGACAGAACAAGCATCTATCAGGAGAGCAACAGCCACGAACTCTCCGGGGTCCCCAGGAAGAACTTACTGTCTTTCGATCCATAGTTCTCTGCCACTACAGGTTTCAGGTTGTAGGGGGCCAGGCCCGCCTCAAACACCAAACCCGCATCCAGCGATACAGCATCTGCTTCGTTTGCCTGAAAGGGAACAGACCAGACACCAATGAAACCCGCAATTCTAGGAAAGACCACCTACACCCTGGTGAGTGAGAGTGACTGGCGGGGCCAGAAAAACCATTGATTTTTAGAGAGTGGAAGGGAAGTAGAAGGAGGGGAGAAGAGAGAGAGAAAAATTGATGTGAGAGAGACACATGGATTGGTTGCCTCCCGCCTGTGCCTTGACCAGGGCTGGGGAATCAAACCTGCAACTGAGGTACATCCCCCTGACTGGGAATCAAACCCATGACCCTTTGGTCCAAAGGCTGACACCCTAACCACTGAGCCAAACTGACCAAGGCAAAACTTTTCTTTTTAATGTTGGTATTGTTGTTTTGTTTTATTGTAACGAAATACATAACATAAAATTTACCATTTAGCCATTTTTAAGTGTACATTTCAGTGCCATTAAATTCATTCATTTTCATTCCACAACTAGATACCAGATATGAAACAATCTTTGAGGATTCTTGGTATCTCAAGAAAACCTCCAGAGACTCTCCTCGCCCACCACACACACTGTAGAACAAAAATAAATAAGCAAATAAACAAGATATTTTCCCAGGGCAGTGAGGTTGGGGCTCTCCTGGCCAAACCAGTATCCTGGGCAGGAATCATTGGAGCCTTAGGAGCTCAGGAACCAAGGAGCCAACACTTAATTCATGGGGTCCACTAGAGCAGGAGGGATTCTGAGGGGAATCTGAACCAACAGAGTATTAAAATCAAACATGACCTTGTAGGTACAAATAACCAAACCCAGAAGAAGGTAAGGCACAATGCATGGTCATCAACAGGAAAATAAGCCTTGGGCAGTCAAGGGGTATAGAGGTTGGAACTGTCAGATGCAATGGAGAAGAGCTACCTATGAGGTATTTAGTTTACATACACAATGAAGGCTACAACCACAGGCCTGAGCCTGTGGAAAGGAAATTACCAGGAATAAAAATTTAAAAAAAAAATTAACTGGTGCTTCTAGAAACTGATATATAACTGTTGAAATTTAAAAGGTAAATGAATGGGCAACAAGTTGATTAAATATGTTTAAAGTGAGGATTAGTAAACTGGAAGCTGTATATAAAGAATTTATACTGGATGCTGCCCAAAAGAGGTGCAGATGATGGAAATTATAAAAGAAGGATTAAAAGATATGGAGTCTAGGTTAAAGAAGACCTAACATCTGTCATCTTGGAATCCTAAAATTTATTATTATTTTTTATTTTATTTTATTTTATTTTTATATCTTTATTGATTTCAGAGAGAGGAAAGGAGAGGGAGAGAGAGACTGAAACATCAATGATGAGAGAGTCATTGATCGAGCCCACAACCTGGGCATGTGCCCTGACCAGGAATCAAACCCTGATTGCCTGGATCCTAGGTCAACGCTCAACTGCTGAGCCACGCCTGGCCAGGCGGAATCCTAAAATTTAAAAGAAAAAAATGGAGAGACTGGGCAAAGGCAGCATTTAAAGACATAATGGCTCAAAAATTTTCAGAACTGATGAAAAACATGACTCCACAGATCCAATGTACCCTAAGCAGGATAAGTATCAAGATTTCCACAACTGGAAATATCATAGTGAATCTGCAGAACATCATAGACTAAGGAAATGAAACCTCAAAATTATCCAGAAATGATGATTGGAGAAAGGACAGGACAACATAGGACTACTCAACAGCTACAATGGAAATCAGGAGACAGTGGAATAATATTTTTAAGCAATGTTAAAATGTCAAACTAGAATTATACATTCAACAAAATTATCACTCAAGAATATACAGAGAACTGCTAAAACTCAACAATGGAAAAAAAATTCAAAAATGGGCAAAGGACTTGAATAAACCTTTCTTCAAAGAAATTCTGTGACTGGCCAATAAGCACATGAAAAGATGCTCAAGATCACTAGGAAATGCATTAGGAAATGCAAATCAAATCTATAATACAAAGGAAACAAGCAAGCAACTGAAAGTTTAACACCAAGAGATTCACTCTAAAAGTACATATTTCAAGAAAAAAACATGTCCAGAAGGATGATCTGAAATATGAGAAATAATGGTGAATAGATTAAATGGCAAAAATGTAGATTAATCCAAATATTCTCTGTCTCCCTCTTTCTGAGTTTCTGGATATGTGTGCACACACATATACATAGACACATACACAGACACACAAACACACATATAAATATATATCTATATATAGAATCTACAAGTACATGAAGTATCTACATTGTGGGGTTAATAAAGATCAACATAAAACATTGACTAGTAATATCTAAACAGGGAAGAGGGAAGTCTGAGCTACTATATTCCATAGTCCTTTGATTGTTTGGCGGGGGTGGGGGGGATGTCATTATTTTACTCTAACACTTTGGTAAGCTAAAAGTATATAGTAAAAATATAGGGGAAATAATTTAAGGATGTATTTAAATTCACCACTAGTAAGAGAGAAAAGTGAAAGAAAAGGAAAACAGTGCAAATGAACACACATGCAAACTCAATTTTTAAAAATGAGAAAAGGAAAAATTAGGAATCGGGGAAAGCAGGACTAAGAGAAATTAAAAAGTAATATGTCAACCCTGGCTGGGTGACTCAGTTGGTTAGAGTGATGTCCTATACACCAAAAGTTTGCCTGTCTGATTCCTGGTCAAGGCACATACCTCGGTTGCGGGTTCAATCCTGTTCAGGGTATGTAGAGGAGATAACCGATTGATCTTTCTCTCTCCCCTCCCTTCCTCTCTCTCTCAAATCAGTAAAAACATTCCTTGGGTGGGATTTTAAAAAAGTAATATATCATAAATAAGTCCAAATTTATCAATAATAACAATAATTATTAATGGTCTAATTTGCCATATAAAACAAATGAGATGGTCAGATTGCATTAATAAAAAAAATCCAGCAATATACAGTTTTCAAAAAACATACCTGAAGCATTAGCACACAGAAAATTGAAAATAAAGAAATGGAAAAAAAGTATAGGGGAATACTAACCAAAAGAAAGTTTATGTGGTATGTTAGCATCAGAACCTAGTCAAAAAGTACTGCCAAAGATAGAGATTATTTCACAGTGATAAAATATCAGATTCGCCAAGAATGATGTGAATTATTCCCACTGCCAGTGGAAGTGGGAATTGAAATAATCATATTGTATTTGTTTAAAAATCATATACATTCGGCATTGTTTTTAAAGTCTAATACATGTCCCATGGCTCAGCAAGTCTGCCCCTACATATATATTCAAGAGAAGTTTTTAATTCTTGTGTCCCAGGAGATTTGTGTAAGAATATTTCTTAATTTCTGATTAGAATAATAAAAACTGAAAATAGTACAAATGGCTAATTACCAGAAAAGAACAAATAAACTGTGGTATACTAACATAATGGACTCTTGTAGAGCTCTGAAAGTGAATGAACAATAGCTATATTCAACAGCATGCCTGAGTCTTAGCATAATATTGAGGAGGAAGAAGCAAGTATCAATAGACAACACAGTAATGTTATGTTTATAATTTTTTTAAGAAGCAAAACTATGCATTCATTTACACATACCTAGATAAGCCTTAAAACTAACATAAAAGACAGAAAATTCTCAGGATTCTGTTTGCTCAGGAAGGGGAAACACTAGGCCATTGTAAGCAGGGCCAGTAGGTTTCACCACCCCAAGTGGCACCATTCCCATAGAATCCGATGCTGTCGCAAAGTAGCCCTAGAAGTAAAATATTGGCAATAATGAAGTTTTGAGAACTTGTGGTGGGTTTGTGGATAGTGTTATTTTATATTATTAACATATTTAAAAATAAAGAGGGGCATTCATAGACCAAAGCTGAACATATGTCATAATTGAAGGATTATAATTAAGTCACGATAGTAACTGAGATCCAATTAAAAACAAACAGAACAGCCCAGCTGATGTGGCTCAGCAATTGAGCATCGACCTATGATCCTGGAGATTGAGGTTCAATTCCCTGTCAGGGCACATATGAGGGTTTCTGGCTCGATCCCCAGTAGGGAGCGTGCAGGAGGCGGTTGCTCCATGACTCTCTCATCATTGATGCTTCTATCTCTCTCTCCCTTTCCCTTCCTCTCTTTGTAATCATAAAGATATATTGTTAAAACAACAAAAAACCCAGGACACACTAGTTGTTTGTAGCAAATCACTGATTCCCTGAGTTAATCAAGCTCCATCTGCTGAGTCTACCTCTCCCACCTCATCACTCCTTCCAGCCTCCTGCTTCCTCTGCTTGGTCACCCTGGCTTCTCTACAGCAACTCAAACAAGCCCAGCTCTCCCCTGCCTCAGGCCCTTTGCACACGCTGCTGTTCACTGCCTGGAGTATTCTACCTTGGCTCCTGGCTTACCCGTGTTCATCCCTGGGGTCTCAGCTTCCTTCTTCCCTCTCAGGGAGATTGTCCCTGACACCCAGTGCTCTCAGAGCACTCTACTTTCCCCCTTCGTTGTACGTCACCCAATTTGGAATTACATGTCTACTTGTTTGCATGTTTTCCTTCTCTCCTCACTAGACTGTAAGCTCCTCAAGAGTAAGGACCATGTGTGTTTAAATTCACCACTGCAGCCCCATTGCCCAGCCCAGGGTCTGACACAGGTTCAAATGAGCAGGAACAGTGCTGCAGCAGTGAAGAGGATCTTGGAAAGCCTAGAAAACAAAGGGGTCACTACCATCTGCCATCCTGACACTGTATCCCTCTTCCCGATGAGCACCATTCATCTACTTCCCATGATGTGTCGAGAACTTCCAAACAATGTTACATGCTCATTTTGATAGCAAACATTCTTGTTTTTTCCCTGAGTTCAGAGAACTGGCCTCAAAACAGTCCCCTTTCAGAGCACGTTGGATTTTGCTTTAAGAATCATTAAAGATGGCCACTCCTATGTCCATTTCTGAAGTGGTTTTGTTAACAGTGGGGGTTGACTGCCCCACACATCAGCTGCTATGTGTGAGTACAGAATTGTTCCAGAACACCAGGAGCAAGAGGAAGATGGACTGTCTTCCACTCCCCTTTAGGCAGCAGTGACTTACCGCGATGGCCTTGATGCACTCAAGGTAGGAGGTTCTCTTCACACAGGCGACAAGAGGACCAGCCTCAGAAAGGACTTTTTGCATACTGTCACGGAAAGCGGTGCACTTACTGGCTTCATGATTTGAGACGGTGCACCATCGCACAGTTTTCTCGGGGACAGCCAGACACAGCCCTAGGGGAGAAAGGCCAGAGGTCTCCTTCCAGTGGGAGAGACAGCAGCACCCTCTGAAGGGACTTGAAGGCTACCTCCCCTCTGTCCTGTCCTCCTCCCACTCCTGTCCATGAACAATGAGGGTGCAGGTTTCACTGCATTCTGAAACTGGGGACAAGAGGCGTGAACCCTAACAACCTCCCAGTTTGCCACCCGTTGCTGGCCAGAGAATGGTGGCTTGATCTTTAGTTCTCAATAGGAGACCACAATCTGCTCCTCTGTGTTCTCCGTGCCTCCTTCCCTCACTATCATGGGACTGCAGTGAGACTTAAGCCTCATCAGTGTGACAGGGCATTTGCAACCACTTCAAGGCATTGGCTCAATACCACCACTCAGGAAGCTAACAAGGTATGAATTACCATTTTTAAAAGAGGAGGGAGCTGTGTTCAGAGAGTGATCGGCTGTTTTACCCAGCCAATCGTTAGTGGCTGAGACTGGTGTAGAAACCAGGCCTCCAGGCTGTGGTCTCTGCCCAGGGAACTAAAGAAGATAACATTCTGCGTTATTTCTGTCTGGTTGGCCAGGAGATAGAGGTAAATGGTTGATAAGATAATGAATTTGCCTCTCACACTTGTCTGTCATCCTCTGTCCCAGGAATAATTAGGAACTCCACATATTCAGTGGTTCTCTGTGTTTCCATTGACCCTCATTTTCACCAGCCTTTTGAGCGGCAATTAGGAGAAGCTAAAGTCAGCCATGGCTGTAGCTACTAAAATCCATGTGGTTGCAGATGTGTTGTCCCCATCGTGTGAGCTTTGGCACTGTCCCCAAAACCCTCTGTTATCTCCACTCTCCCTGGATCAACTAACTCAAGGAAGCTGAAGAATATCCACAAAGCAGCAGACTGAGAGGGCGCCAGTTCTACAGAACACATAAGGAGGAAGCATGGGGAACTTGCTGCCCCAACCACCCTTTACCCCAACTCAGCTCTGGGAAATCACAGGAGGCATCAGGAACCAGTGGCAGGCCCTCCCCAAATCCCTTCTCCAGACCCTCCCCAAACTGCCCCTCCTGGAGTTCCCATGGGCAGGAATTTGTCTTCAATCATGCACTTACCTTGCACAGCCCTATGAGGTCCTTCGGGATGGGGAGTGGGGAAGGGGTGAGGCAAAGGCAAAAATTGTGGAAACGACTCTCAAGGGTAAACTTTTTCAAGAGAGACAAATGACTAAACATGGAAATCTCCAAATGTGATACATGTACCATAAGTAGCAGGCAGAAGTTACAGGATAAAGGGGGCCCAATAATCTCAGGAGGTGAGGAGAGTGGGAGAGGCCATCCAGTGACAGCCCCCATTGCAGGGATGTGTGCAGCAAACTCCGCTGGTGCCTGGACCCATGGCCTAACTATCCTCACCTACCCTCCCAGGCAGGGTCGTACTACCCTTCTCACTGCTGAGGACCCAAGAAGTCTGGCTTTAAATCCCACACTCCAAACCCCTGGACAGCTATGCGTCATTAGCAGGACATTGTCAGCACCAGTGACTCCCATGAGACATCAGACTGCCAAAGAGGAGATCAGGTCGGGGAGGCCTTGAATGCCACGCTAAACCGTTTGGACTTGACTGAGGAGGCCCCAGGGAAGGGATCTGACAAGCCGTGATGGGAGTGCTCTAATTTATTGTATTCCTTTATTACAAGATTTATTAGGGAAGAGGAGGAGGAAAATGCAAGAGCGTGAAATAGCGGGAGGCGCGAGAGGAACCTGCAGAGGCGCGCAGGCACACAGCTGTCCCTGAGGCAGGGCTGCAGCGGAGGCGGAGCTGCGGCGGGAAGGGCTGAGGAAAGGCTCCCGTGCTTCCCAGGGGGCGGTGTGGCGGGGTCCGGAGGCTAAGGGGCCTTCCCCGCGCCCGCACTCACCCAGGACCGCACAGGCCAGCAGGGCGGGGATGGTGAGCCTCATCCTCCCGGTCTGAGCGTGGAGCGGGCGCAGACGGAGCGTCTTCTGCGCCGCCTCTCCGGGGCCCGCTCGCTTTTATCCCCGGCCGGGCGGACCCAGCACAATCTTTGATCTCCTGTGTTTGCTCAGCCCGCTTGCCCAATCGCCCTTCATTCTTCGCCCCCGCTCTCCTCATTTCCTGAGCTCCGGGTCAGGCCGGTGGATGGCAGCCAGCGCAAAAAATGCTGATTGGAAGGAAATTAAAGAAAAACCAATCCTTTGTTAATTTTCGCTCCTGATGTGCCAGGAACGGAACCGCAGCTGGTAGGG